CAATGGGTTACCAAACCCTCCCTTGCGATCCAGTTCACGAGGAAGCTAGAGAAAAAAATAGATTTATAAATCCGAAGAGATTCGTAGATATCCTAAGGCTGAACCTAGAAAAGAAATATCCAAATGCAGAAGAAAGGGAAAAAGCATGCTGGCTACTGACACTCCAGAGAAACTTGAGCTGGAAGAAAGACAGAAAAAAAAGAAAAAAAATATAGGGGCATTAGATTTACAGAAAGCAAGCGAAAGATAAAAGAGAGTGAAGATGAGGAAACTTTTGTGCACAGTCTCGTACAAACTTTCAACGTGAACGTACACGTTCCCACCAAAAGTGAAGACCCAGAAAACCAACAAAACAGATCCAATCGTGAAACGTGTCGCGGAAAACGGTAATCAGCGTGAAAAACGGTCGTGAAACCCGCGAACGGATCCACGGTACCGGTAGTGACGCTTTCTGGACGAGAGGATCACCAGAAAAAGAACAATAGGTGCGAAATTGCCACATGGAGGCGTAAAATTTGTCGTGTAAGGCGCCAAAACTGGTAACTAGCACCGAATCGAACGGGCGTGGTGCCAACCGGCTGACAGGTCCTTGTAACTGATACTGAAAAGTAAGGGGGCAAGGGATGTCGGCATTGGTGCCTGTCTGGAGCTCTTCGCCGTAGAGTTCTCTCGAAACGTAAAAGTGCTCGAACACTCAGGTAAAGTCTCACACACACACTTACACACACTCTCACACACACACATTCTACTCCACACATTTCATATACATACCATTAACATTTAATACATTTATCAATAACCATATCCAAATTCATATTCCTACACTTACTAATTCCATCCCACACAATCAAACACAATTTCCTACACATATTAATCCCACCAATTTCCTACATATACTAATTTCCTACATATATCAATTCCTATTTCTATATATACCAATAACCAACAATATTCGTCTATAAACACAATTTTCCACATATATCAATATATCATATCCTACATATACCAATTCCTTTTTCCTATAATATACATACAAAATCCTTAACATGCCACGAACTAGATCCAAATCCCGCAAACAACCAGATCCACCTCAACCAGCGAATACAGAGGCCGATTTGCAATCTGTATCCAACTCCCAATCCTCCTCTTCCTCACACACCTCACATGTCTCAGTCAACATTGACGGACATGAACCACGGACGCCACAGGAGTGGAAGCAGGCTCTTACAGAGATCTGTCACCAAAATCCTGAGGCTGCCAGCGAACACCTCACCCCAATAGTTCACAAAATCAACAACCAAGATCAACAAACAAATTCACCAACTCCAGATACCATCCGAAAAATCCTTCAAAATGCTTTCATGTCTGCAATCCCTGGATACATTCCCTCCCCCTCACCACCTACCACCTTTTTTCCCTCCCACCCCCCTCCACCCCTACCAACACCTTCTTCCGTACCTCCACCCTCTCCTATTCCTCCTCCAAAACCAACCAAACCTATTCCAAAACCTATTCCAAAAAACACATCTCACACACACAGATACTACATCACACTTATCCCTCAAAAATATTCCAGCCAACTCCTTAGAAAACTCCTTAGAACCCTTAAAAACCACAATCTCCTTGGATATATCCCTTTTGATCTGGATACGGAAGCATCCGAAAACCAGGCCATCCTATACACAAGAGGCCCCCTTCCCAATCTTAGGGATTGAGAGAGGGGTCTGAGAACCCTTACCGAAAGTCACATATCCGTCTCCAAACAAAAACCATCAGAATTCATAGAAACCAAAAACACCACTCCCAAAGTCCTAGCCACCCCCAAGAAAACACACACAAACACACAACCAACACCATACCAACCCACCCCTTCCACCTCCAGAGCAGACAACCCCCTACAAACCCCTCCAACCCTTAACCCCCAATCCAAACCCCTTCACATACACCAGAAATAGCAATACCATACACACCACCAACACCACACCCCATGCACTCGCAAACCACCTCACCCAACCCTCAAACTATCCCTCCCCCTCCCCTCAGCAACCACCTCAATTCAAAAACTACAGGATAGAGGACATCCCTGCTGATATCTGCCAGCAGAGACCATTCTATCGCTTCCTCCTACAACACAACCTCATCCCTAAATTAGACTCACTAAAAGTCTTTCCAGCCCAAAAGGCGGCCTCGATTCAAACAACAAAGCTCCTTGATATCGCCCAGATCACGGCAAACTTCCGAAAAATCAACAAAAACGACCAAATCCGCATTGTAGCCCGTCTACCTAAGTCCCAAAATCCATCACCCAATCCTAATAATTCATCTATCTTTCACCTCGTCATAGCCGGCGTGGCAAAAACATTCTCTCAAAAACTTATCGAGGATAACCTATCCGAAAACAACTTCCCCTATACCAAAGTAGTTCGAATAATCGCCCGCTCCACCAACCAACCCACCTCCTACATCAGAGTATTCACTAACTCTGAAACCAAGTTCGCTGAAGCACTCACGAGCGGTATTTTGATCGAGGGTGAACGGTTGGCCTGTGAAATTCCACGATCAGGCAACTTTGTCCCCGTTCGGTCCAAATACTGCTCGAGATGTTGCAAAAGCGGACATTTCAACACAGAATGCTCCGAAAAGTCAATAATTTGCCCGTTCTGCGGGCTCAGCCATCGGTCTACTGCCTGCCCCACAATATCAGCTCCAAAATGTCCCAACTGTAGTGTTCCTCACCCTGCCTTCTCACCACGATGTCCTCACAGAAGCGCTCATCCCGCAAACTACAACCAAACCCAACCAGTACACACAGAGAAACAAATCACATCCTACGATCGCACCTCTGACATGAAATCCCTCATCAACTTCACATCCATGCTCCTATTCAACGTCTTCCCTGAAAAGAAAAGCGCAATAACCCTATACCTTAGCCAAATATCAAACGCAATGTATGGATGTGCCATAGCCACTTCATGCATAAATGACCTAGTCAATAAAACCTTCACCCACCTACACATCTGAATATCACACTTTACACATCAACACACACCAACAACACCCATACACAACACTTTACCTTCTCTCAGCTCACAATCCAAACTAATAAACACCTAATCCCATACCACAACAATAAACATAAAATCCAAATTAATAAACATACAAAATTCCACAAACACACAACACATCACTACACTGTGAGCACCGATTACACTCCTTAAGAGTCGATTAAATATACACAAGGACAGGGGGAGATTGGTTTTCTGTGGTTTCCCAATCTCATTGCACAATGATACCTGATCCTAGGTGAGGACACAGCCACAGCTATCCTCCACGCGTTTTTCCAACAAACAAACAATGGCCAACAATCTGAAAGGAATCGTTTTTCCACGGAACTTGTACTTCGTGACAGGCTTGGTATACCTGACTAACTCTTCCGGAAGGTACGATTTCCGCCTCTTGTCTTCTTCTTATTCTCGGCACCCTTCCTATCCTTCTCCCACCCTCTTTGACTTTTTAGTTTTTTAGCGGTGGCGCCCTTAGTCTTCGGAGTCCAACCGAAGTCATATGAACGAGAACTGGCATTTCGAACCAAACAAGCATAAGCATCCAAGTAACAAACCCACTCTTGAAGAAGCATAGAGCTTAAAGCAAGGTAAAAACGCATTGATTGAGTGAAGATGAAGCAGATGAAGAATGGCATTCCGATGCACCATCTGAACAAGATTGATTCTAAATTTACTTTCCTACAGCTTCAGATATTGCCACAATTTCAGTAAAAGACATTAAGATGATATTGCCAAGGCCAGTTTGTTATGGTCATACTATACGGCAAAATTCATTTTTCTCATTCAAGATAAATACAAACCGAGCAATTTTCAAATTTGACTTTTTCGTTTGTAATGAACGCATGTGAGAGTACAATCCTGAATAAATTTGGTTTACATGTCATAGTAGTGGACTTATGGTTAAATGAAAAACAAGTGTCTCACTGTTATCCAGTTTCCCATACGCAATAAAATTAAAAAACATAGTTCGCTTACTTTCAAATGCAATTAGTCTCTCCCTTAGAATTTTTCAAACGACAATAATGACAACAGTTACAATTTTAGTCGCATCTTAGATTCGTAATAAAAAATACGCTGCTTCCTAGCGACAAAAAATAAATTGACAGCTGACGGATCAGTAAGTGTCACAATAAATCAATATTGTAAATACTTAGACAAGGAAAGAAAGAGGACGGGTAACGCTCGTTCAACCAACCTTCAATAAGTGAAGCCACTTTTTGATGTGTCCGCCATTTTTTTTGGCGGCAAACAATAGATCTGACACCAGTTTTGTTTTTGTGATTTTAAAAAAAAAGTGAAGTAAACAGCTATTTTTTTTACTTAACAAAATGGTGAATTGTGTCTATATTAAGTGTAAAAATCGCAGCGAGCGGAAAACACCAGGAATATCGTTTCATAGGTAAATATTTATAATAGTGCAATTAGGTATTAATTGATTTTACTTTTTATTTCAATTTTAAACCTCAAAACCAATTTAAATTAGTATTTTAAGGAAAGGTGAGATCTAAATTAGTAAATAAGAATGCTAAATATGCCGAGTTAGTTCAGTAATTGTATTATAATTAATAATTTCACTCACACACCGTGATGATTTGCCAGTGGCGATGTGCGATGAGGGTTAAAATTTAAAAAGTTCCATAAATAAGTAAATAAATAAATAAATTTCGTTAATTTTGATTCCAAAATATTTGTATAAAATAAAATAAATTAGGTAAAACATTTAATGTACAAAAATGTTTCATTTTAAATACGAATTAATAAATCCTCAAAAATACAAAGATACGCCGCTGACCACTTCCTCTGGTGGCAGTTTGGCTTCACTTTTAGCGATACGGTTACGCGTCCTCTCTCTTTCCTTGTCTAAGTGTAAGGTAAAAAATCAAATCGACTAAACGGACTACATAAATAAATAAATATATTTTTTAAAACTCATACCTAAATTTTTCTTTATTATCGCTAAAGTGATAAACAAGTTCAGCTAAAGCCCGTGCATGTTTTTTGTCTATTTTTCGAAAGACGTAAGACTCTCCAGTTTTCAGTCCGCTGCTAATTCCGCTTCCAATTTTTGGTATCACGGAAAACAGTGTACTTATGACAGTAACAGTTTGACTGGTCGGTTTTGGTGGCACTTGTCGTTCTTCTAATAGTTTGAGCAAAAAAGTTAATATATATTCTACATTATCTACTAAGTAATAAGCAAACTCTTTCAATCTTTGGACAGTCGTAGCTACATCAGAAGCTGTTGTCGATTCAATATCGAACTCGTCGTCTGAAAAATAGAGAAAAGTTTATTGCAAGTATAGTATCAACTAATAAACACGGTTAAGGGATCATTTTTCGAGTGAAGAGAAAAATATATAGTGTCAAATCTCACCTACTAATTAGTAATCGAACTATCTCAACAAATCCTAAAAGTTTGGTTCTGAAGCTTCATTTTTGTGGATGTTTATGTTATTTATTATTTTTAATGAAAGTTAATCACAATCTCAGTTGAAAATACTCTTATTTAGACGTTTACATTTTCATTTCCGAAGTCAAAATATACTCCAGTCATGTGAGACGAAAATACCACCAACAAGCTGAATTTTGACGAGAATATTAATTTTGGGACCCCAAAAAAGATCAAAAAAAAGTTTACCACTTTTACTCCTCGGCTTCCCTCTAAAATGACTGTTCGTATATTATTCGAAAAAATTGATTTATTAAAGATCTGTACGCTGTAGAAAAAAAATATTTAAAACAAAATGTGAAAATGTAGCTGAAATAGTTTTGAACAAATATGTTTATTATCACTTTTTATGTAGAATGAATCGTTTTATCAGAAACAACGCTTGAAGCGATTGGTGATTTTGAATGTGAGTTACGCGCGAGAAATTAATTTTAAATAAAATTTGTTTCAACTCGACGGTAAAAATTCGATATCTTTTGATCAGAGAATTCTATCGTCTAGAATCAAAATGGGGTTTAAAGAGAAAAAGTGCAGCTTTCGTATACAACTTTTGCATTTTGCTGTAAATAAAGTCAGTTTTTATAAAGATGATTCTAGATTTATTTAACTACGTTTACAAATTTCACATTTGTTTGTAGCAAGTCAATTATATGTATAAGTAAAAAAGATAATATATAACGTACACAAAATACAATAGGAGATGAAAATACATTACTGCGCATAACATAAAATATAGAAAATAAGACATATCCCAACATAGTGAGTACATCCATGTTCATGCTACTGCTTTGAAGTGATCAAAGTATTCAATAACAGAGTAAAAAGCAAATCTCAAAAGGTATCTCTTCAGACTTACTTCAGATTTATTCATCGAAAGTTGTTTTAAATCCTTAAAAAAAGAAATTGCAATATATGCAATTTTTGATGAAATGACCTTTGAATGCAGTCTGACCTTTTAATGTTATATAGCAGCATCTGCAACGAATTTTAAATTCGACACCAGAAAGATACGTCCTTATGGCTTTTGTAAAAAATCGATTATTCTTTTTATACCATCAGGCATAATCTGCAGTTGTTGCTCTATGGTTCTAAAATAGAAAACAGATCTATCTGGCAATATCAGCAGTTAATGCCAAATGGTTTTTCAAGCCTGCCAAAATTGCAATATTGCCTGTAACTATTTTTATCTGTTGTTTCCGTGTTGTAAGTAAACAATCGTGTACAACCGTAGTGTTACCGTGTTACAAACCGTGTTACAAACGTAGTAAGAAGCAAATTAAGAACAGTGAACCATAGAATATTGAATTTTCTATAATCTTTGCGAGATAACATACCACGCAAGGTACGTACTTATATTTATGTTTTACTTGAAGAATTGCACAGGTAATTTTGCAGTAAGAATGAGAACTATTAATATAAAGCGAAGACAACGAGGTTTGGTGGCTAATATGGAACTAAGTAAAGCATATTCACATCCATCAGGAATATCCAATCTAAAAAAAACAAGATCTGCTCTCACTATATAAGGCTAATGTTATTCAAGAGCACTACCATAGGTTTTATGCAGATTTACATGTAAACCATGGAACAGTAGAAACCGAACAAAGAGATTACAATATGCTAGATTTTGAGAAGATTATAAATTGGCATACAAAAAAAAACAAAAATCAAATATGAAAAACCAATATAAAAGAATATTGTGTTAGGACGTACATACTGTACTGAGTCTACTGAATATACAGAAAGAGTTACATACCTGGCAAATTGTCCGCTAAGCTTGTGGAATCCATTTTAAAATAGCTACAAAAAAATTCAGATATTATGGAAACTGAAAGTCTAATTTATTTTTACTATCAAATCAATGTTTGAATCATCAATAAAAGTAAGATAACATAAACAAATAGATACATTTATTGTGACTAACACCACTATCTCTAGATGTTGGTTATTTTTAAAATTTATTTAAAACGACTAATATTTTAGTATAAATATATACAGAGTACATAACATCTGGAGATAGTTATAACTTTTATGCACTCACTATACTAATGACAAAAAAATGCAACACCTAGAAGGACACATATTTTTTTAAATATTGATTTATGGAAGTATACATTATAATAATATTATTATTTGATAACATTGTAAACAAATTTGCAACGTCATTTTAGTCAAAAAATTAATAATGAGTAGCTCCTTCTAAATTTTTTATACACTCAGTTACTCTATGGGGCAATGATCAAATTAAGTGATCACATTACAGAATGGCATTATATTACATACGCATATTTATATGGCATGCAACAGGTTATAAAGTTTGTTTGAGAGCGTAGCAATCGATTTAGGTCTCGACCTACCATATCCCACGCATGTTAGATGGGTGACAAATCAGCTGATCTTGATGGCCACTCCAAAATCTCTATACCAAATTCTTGTATGAACCCCATGGTTTCACATGCAATATAAGGTCTGGTTATCCTGTTGAATAATCGCATTTGGAATGGTTTATAGGCAGATATGTAAAACCGGTTGCAGTACTTCACCAATATATCGTTGAGCTTTCAGAGTACCGTTAATAAGAACTAAAAGTGATCTGCTTTTCAAGCATATAGCACCTCATACCGTAATGCTTATGCAAGTCTATATTTTATCTCTGACCTTGAAAACGTCTTATCCTTATGTGCTTATCAGAGCCACCAAAGAAAAATTACATTCATCACTGAAGCAGACACCATTGTAAGCGTCGAGCCTTATGCTGTGATGTCAAAGGTAAAACCAAAAGTAAACGGTAAGCTCCCAGTCCTATTTCAAGTAATCTTTGATTAACTATTCTTCTTGAGACTCCCCTTTCTCTAGCCGTAACTAAATCATCTCTTAATTGATGTACACTGTCCTGTCTACTTCTGAGAGCAAGAAGTCGAATATGGAGCAAATCACGACCTTGTAATATTCTAGAACGTCCAGACGCTTCACGACGCTAATAAATCCCATCATTGGACCACCTTCTAAAAACTCTTACCACCATTGATGGATTAGCTTCAACTCATCGTGTTCGTAGTCACTTTAGTCATGTCACTTTAAGCTCGTGAATAAAGGCATATCAATTAACGGAACACTAGTAAATAATCTTAGATATGCAGATGATATAATACTCCTTGTAGATAGCAGAGAGGGGCTTCAAATTATATTGGTAAGAAACAATAAGAATAAAGACAAGATAAATTACCAAGGTAGAAATGCGAAGATTTCTTGGTTGACAAAATAAAAATTCAGATTTTTTCTTTAATCTGTGCGTTCTATAAATTTCAAGGCAAAACAGACGGTAAAAATGGTGTAAGAAAAACATGACGAATTTCAAAGTTGCATTCCATACCTCTACTAAGCAAAAATCCTTGGTGAACTTGTTGGTCTTTCGGAAACCAAAATAAAAAAAACAGTTAAATTTTATTTCGCTTAAAGTGTCTCTATATATTCGTTTACACGTATTTCATTCTACCGGAATTCATCAGAGCAACTGGTACAGAAGCTCTAGAAGTGATATCAAATATTTTCCGGCAAGACAAAACAGGTGATGAAAAAGGTGCAAAAAAGACATGGGAAACCTAAAAGTTGCATTCCACAACATACCTCCTCATCTAAGGAATGCCGGTCTGTTGGATAAAGCGAATTGTTGAATGGCGACTGAGGGCAAATTAGATAACTAGAATTAAACCTCAAAACAGATGGACTGCTTTGAAATAAATTGAATTCTAATAGATTTGAGAGAGATTCGTTAATCTTCTTCTTTGGGTGCCGTCTTCAATGAAGGTTGGCGATAACCTCAGCAAAATCATTTCTGTCCCTGGCTTTTCTTATTAAAGATTGAGAATCCAAACCAGTCCACTCACGAATGTTCTTCAACCAGGACGCCTGCCGTCTACCAGGACCACGTTTTCCTTCTACCTTCCCCTCTATAAGAAGCTGCAGTAGCTGGTATTTCTCATTTCTGTATATGTGTCCCAAATATGAGGTTTTCCGTGTTTTCATTATTTTTAAGAGTTCTCTGTCGGTACCCATCTTGTGTAGGACCTGCTCGTTGCTCATATGCGCTGTCCAGGGGACTTTCAGCATCCTTCGAAATAACCACATTTCAAAACTTTCCAAACGCCTGAGTGAGTTGATTTTGAAGGTCCAGGCCTCCATTCCATATAGTAAGGTGCTGTAAACGTAACATTTCAGCATTCGGTATCGGATTTTGAGATTGAGTGTTTGGGACGTAAACATTTGTTTCATTTTTAAAAAGACATTTCTTGCTTGTTCAATTCGCGATTTTATTTCTATGTCTGGATCTATATCTTTCGTTATCCAGCACCCTAGATATCGAAATTTCTCGACATTTTCGATAATGTTACCATTCACGTTTAAAGCCATGGGTGGATGGATGGATGTTTTGGAGACAATCATTGTTTTTGTTTTCTTGACGTTAATGCTGAGGCCGTATTGTTCTCCGATCGATCTGACGCGATCTAAGAGTGTCTGGAGATCCTGTGCGCTCTCTGCAATTAGGACCGTGTCGTCGGCGTATCGTACATTATTTAGAACTCTGCCGTTAATTTTAACACCTTCTCTTGATTGCTCTAGTGCTCGTGCAAAGATTTCTTCCGAATATATATTGAAAAGTAGTGGTGACAATACACACCCCTGTCGTACACCTCGCTTGATATTGAATATTTCTGTGTCACCGGCTTCTGTTCTAACTGCTGCAGTTTGGTTAAAATACAGCGTTTGGATAATTTTAAAATCGTTCTCGTCTAGTCCCTTTTTGTGAAGGCAATCCATCAGCTTATCATGTTTTACTTTCTCGAAGGCCTTTTGATAGTCAATAAAACATAAAAAGAGATCCTTTTTTTGGTCTCGACATTTTTGCAGCAGTATAATAAAACTGGTTAATGCTTCCCGTGTCCCAAATCCATTTCGGAAGCCAAATTGTTCATCACTGATATCCTGTTCACATTTCTTATAAATGCGTTGGTGAATAACTTTCAAGAATAACTTTAACGTATGCGACATTAAACTAATAAGTCTGAAATCACCACACTTCTTTGCTCCCTTAGTTTTTGGAAGGGGAATAAAGACTGATTTTAACCAGTCTTGTGGAATTTCACCGCTTGTATATATTTGATTAAATAATTTGACGATTATATTTAAATGTTTCTCTTCCAGTAGCTTTATGACTTCCGTATGTATGTCATCGGGGCCAGGGGCTTTCCCATTTTTTGCGTTTTTGATTGCTCTCTCTACTTCTTGTTTTAATATAGGAGGACTGGTTTCATGGTTTTTATATATTATGTTGTTTAGTGGTGTGTCCGAGAATAGTTCTTCTATGTAATGTCCCCATACGTTGTTTAGATCGCTTAATTCCCATATCGTTTCATTCTCGTCGTTTGTTAATCTACAAGGGAGTCTTTGTTTTGTCATTCCAGCTAGATCTTTTATTTTTTTGTGAAGCGTTTGATTGTCGTGTTTCTTTATTAATTCTTCGTCTCTTGGCAGTTTTCTATCATCCAATTTTCTTTTGCGGTAGCTATTTCTTTCTTGATTTGACGATGTATCTCCCTATATTTTTCATTATTTTTATTTTTGTAGGCTCTTCGAGTATCCATCATTCCCAGAATTTTTTGTGTCATCCAGGGTTTAGATTTTCTTTTGTTATTAGTGTCTTTTATATATTTCTCGCGCTAGTAAAAGCATTCTTGACTTCAGTCCATAAGCCTTCTGTAGTTGGTGATAACTCTCTTTGGAGTCTTTCACATTCCTCGTTGAGTTTAGTCTTTACCATACTTTGTATATTTTCTTGTTTAAGTAAATTGATGTCGGTTTTTCTTTTGACAGTCTTTTTTAGCATTTTGAACTTTATTTTTAATTATATTATATTATATATATTATATAAGATTCGTTAATGATTAAGATATATTAAAGTAATCAGAAATAGAGATCTTTGAAGACAAACAATACATGCTATCACGATGACCTTCGGGGTTAGGAGGGTCAGGACTGAAGAGAGAGAATGAAAGGAAGACTGCGTCGGGCTCAGTACTTAGTCTTTATTTCGTTTCATTATAAAATGTTCAACATTTAAATTAATTAAATTCACTTATCATTAAAACTCGCTATATTGTAAGTTATTGGAAGGACTAGGAGAGGAAGACCAAAGACGACCTAGTAGAAACTGCTTAGCCAAGAAAAGAGAAATCTAATAGAAGAAATGAGAAATAGAAAAAATGAGAAATCTAATTAGTGTAGCCAATCTCGCATAGGGATAGGGACAAAGAGAATGATGATGATTATGATTATTCTACAAGAGATATTGAAGTTTCCTATTGAGATAACTGTCAGATACTAAAAAGTGTGTATGCATAATTATATTTGTTTATAATCTATTGGAATATATAATTCCTTTGAGTAAGCGTTAAAATATATTTATAATTACTGAAACTCATCTGATAAATAATCACAGATAGATGCGAAAATAAAAACAAAGTTAACTAAATAACTTTTAATCACCAAATATAAAAAATATCATTCTTGTACAAACCATACATTAAATGTGACTAAGCAAAAAGAACGCAACATCAATTATTATATACACGCGCATATTAGGTATTCCCAAGTTATTGTATATTTGTCGGACAGTCAGCGTCAGCTCAGCGCTAGCGATCAAACTGTTACCGACTGTTAATACATACCGACTGTTAATTGAATGAAATCTTTCTTGAACTATAAAGATTATAATAGAGATGTAGTTTCCTATAACTATAAAGATATAGTTACAGGAAACCCTAATATTTCCAATATGGACATTAATATTAAAATATTAAAAACATTAAAA